TCATCGATGCTTTTATCTACCTCTCCCTTCCTCTCTGAAATCAATAAAAACATTTTTTTTTTTTTTTTAAAAAAGAGAGAGCCCTGGCCTGTTTGGCTCAGCGGTTAGAGCATTGGCCCGAAGACCAGAGAGTCCTGGGTTCGGTTCCCACTAAGGGCATGTATGTTGGTTGCAGTTTGTCCCCAGTCTGGTTGGGGTTGGGTGGGTGGCAACCAGTCGATGTGTCTCTCTCACATCGATGGCTCTCTCTCTCTTCCTCCCTCTCTCCCTCCTGCTCTATCTGAAGATAAATGCAAAAATGTCCTCAGGTGAAGATAAAAAAAAAAAAGAGAGAGAGGAAACCAGACTGGGCCCAGTGTGAGGCCTCAGGTAATAAAAGAGGGGGGCAGGGGAGAGAGAAAGAGAAATGGGTTCCTCTGCATCCAAACAATCTGACTCCTCCATCTGGGACCCGGGCTGACTATGTGTGTAAAAATTATAGGCCTGTGTTTTTCTGAACCATTGGGTTAAACTTACCAAAGATAATTTTGAATTATCATGGCCATAGTGGGAAACTTTTAAGCTAGATAAGCTTATAAGATGCTTTAGAGAAAAAAGGCTCCCAAGTTTCTCCCAAACAATGGGATGCATTTTTTATTGGTATGCAGAAGCTTCTAAGAAACTATGAATCAAAAATTGCTTGTTTAAAATATTTTTTTACCAAAGGCAAATTAAAAGCTTAAGCAACAAGCTAATGGCAAATCTAAAAGGCAGTATACAGTAACTCACTGGACAGTGACTGCTCCTACAGCTCCTTCCCTCTTCTCCCTAAATATTCGGAACCTACTAATCCCTCTATTCAACTGCTTTTTCACTCTGAAGAAGCTACAAATGAAACAAATGCCTTTTAAAGTGAGACCCCCTGCTGAGCCGGGAATACCAGATGTAAACATCTCTTCATGGTCAAAGGATGGACTTAGGGCCATCTCTACCGATTTCCCAAACCCTGAAGAAAATTCTCAAACATTTTATAAGAATTTAGAATTCTAGCCCGGCTGGTGTGGCTCAGTGGATTGAGTGTTGTCCCATGGACTGGGACTTCCTGGTTTGATTCCTTGTCAAGGCACAAGTCTGGGCTGATCCCCAGTAGGGGGTGAGTAGGAGGCAGTTGATGAATGTTTCTATCTTTCTCCCTTCCTCTCTCTAAAAAAAAATCAATAAACATATTTAAATAAAAAGAATTTAGAATTCTAATTAGAGTATATAATTCAGGGCTCACAGATCTCTACCAGTTTTTCATGATACTAGGACCTGGTGTCAACCGAAAATGGATGGCTGAAGCCAAATGGGAAGATCCCAGGAGTGATATTAAAAACCCACACACTGCCCTGCTGGTTTGCTCTGTGGTTAGAGCACTGGCCTGCTGACCAAAGAGTCTTGGTTCAATTCTTGGCACATTCCTGGGTTGTAGGTTCAATCCCTGGCCCTGGTCAGGGTCATGCCGGAGGCATGTGTCTCTCTGACATTGATGCTTCTCTCCTCCTCCTCCCTTGCACTCTAAAATAAATCAATGGAAAAATATCTTCAGGTGAAGATTATTAACAACAAAAAATCCACATACTCATTGCTGTGCCAGGGATGACCCAAAGCACATGAGAAAAATTGCCTAAGCCCTGGCCAGTTTGGCTCAGCGGTTAGAGCGTCGGCCTGCAGTCAGGAGGAGAAAAATTGCCTAAGACTACTTGGAAGTATTAATAGGATATTTCCTCAAGAAATTGGGTGGTCTATTATTCAATCTTGCAAATAAAAGGAAGAATAAACTAGTCTCAGGCTATAATACAAGACTGGGAACCTTTTTAATGAGACATACTGGGCTTTTTTAAGTGAAGGTGCCCTGACTTCCTTATTCATTAGTGGGCTTCAGCTGGAACTAGTAGCCAATAAAGAGATGCGCAAGCTGAGCTGAGAAGCTAACCCTCTTGCTGAATTAACAGCCCTAGCAGAGCATTTTGAAGGAAATAAACTTAGAGCAAGATAAAATTTAAAACATTCAAAAAGCCAATAAACTTATGGCCCTACAGTTACAACAGCTCCAAGGGCTGAGTGGCCTCCATGAACACATTTCAAGTCAAAACCTAGAGGTCTGCCACTTAGGAATATTGCTCCCCCAAATGTCCGCCTTCACTGTGCAGTGCCAGGGCCCTGGAGGAAAGCATGCCTCGTCCTGAGCCCATCGTTCAGCAGACCTCCACCTATTAACCCAGTTTTCCATCAGGGAAAGTCTTTAAAAATTGATTATTGAAATAATAAGCATTGATGGGGCTTTGAGGGGGTCTACAGTAAACCAGCCCCCCCTGTGATACCTCTAAATGTGCAAGGAAAACTAAAATAAAAATGAAAGGAGACTCCTGTACAGTCTGTGGACACTGGAGCCACTTTATCTACATTAACCCACTTTCATAAAACAGCAAATCCCTGGTAGTAAAGAGAATATTTCCACAGTGGGGGTTTCAACCCAATTTAAGGTACCTCTGTCTAAACTAGTCCAGATGATGCTAGGGCCATTTTTGGGAAACCATACTTTCCATTTGTGTGAGTGTCCCAGTAAAACTGTTAGAATGAGAATTGTTTTCTAAACTGAAAAGACATATAAAATTGAGCCTGAGCTACTCTCTCTCTGCAAGCAGAAACTGATGAATTAGAGGCTCTAAAGTATGAAAGCCCTGGCTCTCAGTGGTGCCTGAACGCTGGTGGGCCCCATCCTCAGCTCACATAGTAAAATTAAAAGCGCTTAACTCATAAAAATCCAAATAGATCCTTCCAAACCCCTGCTTAAATTGCCTTAAAGGAGGAGGGTAGGTAGTGGTGGAAGAGGGCATAGAGGGGATAAATGGTGATAAAAAAAATAAATAAATAAATTGCCTTGATACACACTAAAACCAGGAGCTACCCTAGGGCTCTCACCAACTATGGGAGACTTAACTAAGCAGGACATAACTGTATGCACTAGTCCCTGTAATACTTGTCTTACCCATTAAAAACTGGTGGACAAAGCTGGACTGTGGATCTGCATGCAGTCAATAAAGTGTGACGCTGAGGCTCCCCACAGCTCTGAACTCAAATACCTGTTACCTAATGTACCTACAGACTCAAAATGGTTCAGTGGTGGAGCTTTGTTTTGCTTTCTTTAGTATCACAGTTGACAAGGAGAATCAATATTTATTTGCCTTCCCTTGGAAAAATAAAGAATATACCTGGACTGTAATGCCACAAAGGTTCACTGAAGCCCCATCCTGTTTTTCAGAGGATTTACATCAAGATTTGACAACTTTACAGTTCCCTCCTAAGAACTCTACATTTATTCATTATGTAGATGACTTATTGCTATGTTCCCCTACAAGGGAGGATTCAGAAATAGATTTGATTTATCTGCTATAGTAATTAGCTTGTAAAGACCATAAGGCCTCCAAGGAATGACAACTCTCAAAAGAGAATGTCTACTACCTAGGACAGGATTTGACTACAGAAGGTATTTCCCTATCACCTGAAAAAATAAAGAGCATCCAAAACTTCCTAGATCTACAACTAAATGACAATTATGGGTTCCTTTGGATTTGCAGGATATTGCAGATCTTAGGTTCCAAATTGTTCTCTGATTGCATCTTCCATATATGAGCTTATAAGGAAGTGAATTCCAGAGCCCTTACCCTGAGAAGATAATCACGAGCAAGCCCTTAGCCAATTAAAATTAGCCCTTCAACAAACTCCAGCCCTAGAGCTCCCAAATTATACAAAACCTTTCAGTTCACTTGTCCACGAGCATGATGACCAGGCTCTAGGAATTCTAACACAAGAGCACAGGGGAAGCCACAGATCTATTACTTACTGTAGCTCACAATCAGACCCAGTAGCCACAGCACAGCCAAACCATTTCAAAGCAGTAGCTGCAGCAGCTAAATTAGTGGAAGCCTCCGTTGGATGGGTATTGAATATGACTTGTACTTACAAGTAGGCATGCTGTTGAGTCTATTAAACTCTGATCAGACTCTACGTCTTTCAGCAAGTAAACTAACATCTTATGAAATCCTTCTCCTTTCACCTTTAACCTCCATCTTAAGTACTGTATCTTGCTCAACCTTGCTACCCTGCTACCCTTGCCTACACAGATACTCATAACTGTATAGAAGTGTTGTCAGTTATTGATCCCTCACATTGACTTACAGGACACACCATTAGAAAACCCAGATTTGATATGCTTTGTTGATAGGTCCTATACTAAGAATGCAGAAGAAAAATATCAAGCAGGGTATGCTGTGACAACTTCATATGAACTATTAGAAAGGGGAATCTTTCCCCAGCTTCAGTCTGTTCAACCGGAACTACAAGCCCTTGCTCAGGCTTGTCAGATATCCAAAGGAAAAAGCAGTAAACATTTATACTGATAGCACATATGTCTTTGGTATGTTATAGAAACAGAAAGAGTTTCTCACTTCTACTAGAAACCCAATCAATGGATTCCAAGTAAATGAATTGCTCTCCTACATTCTACAGTGTAAATCAGACCATTTATAGGCTTAGTGTCAGTCCTGCACATTTAGGTGGTCTTTCAATATGTAATACTGTATTTGAGTCTTTTTTGAATGATACTAATACCTCTGTACCAACCAATGGATCCATAAAAGGTAATGTTTATGAAGAAGCCCTGTAAACACCTTCTGGCTACTCCTTTATATGGGGAGGTTTTATCAATGGCCTCTATGTTTGGGCAACTCATTGTCTTGATAGCTGGAGAATAAAAGATGTGTTCTTGCTGTATTTACTGTCCCTTCACAATACCTCAGAAACTCAACATTAGTCCACACCCTTGAATTTACACAACTGACCAAAAAGAAGTTTACCAGCAGATAGGCGACATTTGGATGGTCCCTTCTTGCTTGGCTTGGAGTTAGTACAAACAAATGTGTGATTAGAAACTTATCCTTAACTCTGGCAACCATTGCTGAGTCTACTGCTAAGGCCACAGCTACACAACGGAAGTCCCCAGGCTCTGTTGCTAAGTTGTTTTAGAGAACAAAATTGCATTAGAATACTTGTTGGCTAAACAAGGAGGAGTGTACCTGGATCAACACCCCTGGTACTATAGAAACTGAAATATAAGATATTAACAAACAAGCTACTTGGCTAAAACAGGTTGATACCTCATCAGGTTCATTCTTTGATTTGATACCAGCTGGTTTGGTTCATGGAGAACCTGGCTAAGGAGAATACCTCTGACACTTAGTATTATCCTCCTAATAGTCATCATTAGAGTCTTAAATGCATCTACAGCTGTGGATATTGTACATTGCTTGGGGAAACAGGTGACACACTTATGAAGGGAAGCAGATAAGTATAGCGCCATTATATTTATTTATTGCATTCTGAAATACCTGGGGAGGGCCTGAGAACAAGTCCATTTTATCAGCAGTTCTAAAGCCTCATTACCTGAGATTTGTATTCTGGAAAAAGAAAATCGAGACTGAATTATCAATATGCACGTCATGAGATTTGGGTTTTGGCCCTGATGGAAGAACCTGTACTAACCTGGAAACGCTTATACGAGATCAAAAAAAGAAATCAACTAAACACCAAATCCTGGTGAAAGATGTGGATTTAACCAGAGCCACACACGGTAGCAAAACACCTCCCCTTGGGGTGGTTAGGAATGCAGGGACTTGATGCGAGCACAGGCTGCTCAAGGCAGCTTCCTCCCCAGGGACTGGCTGCTCGCCTCAGCATTCCCAGGAAGAACCAGTCCTTGGGTCGCATTTCTCTGTCCTCTGCTCCTTTTCACTTCTCATCGTCCCGTCCATAGTTAATTGTTTGTAAGGCCTGAGCTATGAGCATAGCCATTTCTCGGGTGCCCGCAGCAACCACTCTGCAAGACATGAGGTCAAGAGGTCCTCCTGAGGACAGAAAAGAGAGCACCTGGGTTACTAAAGAGGGCAGAACGGTCCTGGATCACAACTCAGCATGTACACATTCCAAGAAACACAAATCTCCCAGGCTGTGCTTGAGGCTGGACCAAGCAGTGTGGTCTAGACATGAGTGTGGTCAGAGAGCGATGACATCTTTCAGCATTGGCACCACCCCGATAGAGTGCAGTGGAGGAGCCACAGACCAATGCTGTCCTGGAGGCTGTGTTGGAGAGTGTAGTTTGAGGTGCAACATTCAGGACTGAGATTCCAGTGACTTGTGGGGAGCATGATGCTTGCTCTGCCAGTCTCATTGGACTGTGTGCTTAGAAGACGGTCCAATGTTATGCAAATGTAAAGTGATGGTATTGTTCCTACCCCGCCACATATTCTGACCGTAGGGTCTGTTTTAATGCCTAGAGGCATAGGGAAGGCAGGAAAGGTGGTAAGGAGCTGGACCACTGCTTTTCCAATGCCCTCTGATCAGTAGAGACTCCGAGGAAATAAGGGACATTCAGTCTGGAGCTGTTACTCAGTATAGTCTCTGCTGTCATACCCCTGCAGACTGAGGGCAAGCCAGGGGTCAGATGGGCTCACCTGAGGTGTCCATCACGATGCCACCTGCTTCTCTGATGATGACGGTAGCAGCGGCCAGGTCCCAGCAGTGCAGGCCAAACTGGTAATAGGCATCTGCAGCCCCTGAGGCCAGGTGGCAGAGTGCCAAGGTGGAGCTCCCAATCACTCGGACCCTGGAGGAGAGGGAAGAGAACAATACACAGGTGAGCAGCACCATGCACAAATCACACTGCTTTTAAATAGTGTTCATGACTGCTTCATCCAAGGAGTCTCTCCTGCTGCTAGCATTCCCAGTAGTTAAAAATGAGCCAGAAGGCGTCTACCAGTAAGCTCGAGATTCAAAATCCAGAGTGCAGTGCAGTGCTGTCCAATAGAACCTTCTGAGACGATGGAAACATTCTGCACTGTGGTAGTTCTAGCCACCTGTGGCGGTTAGGCACTTGAAATGTGGCTAGCACAACTAAACAACTCAATTTTTAACTCTATTGAACTTCAACTTAAATTTAAATCACCTTATGTGGCCAGTAGCTAAAGCACAGACCTAGATGGAGGACGAGAAATGGAGAGGATTCAGTTAGACTTGGATTTATTTTCCTGAATGTTTACTGGGGGAAGATAATTTAGGAAGGCCTCTATGCACACCCAGGATTGGCTGATTGGGTGGCTGGAGATCAGTCCCTTGGCTTCTCCAAGTTGCTCGGAAAGGAAGCCCTGTCAGTTTCCAGTCAACTCCCATGCTGGACAACACAGCAGCCATGTAGCTGCCGTGGGCCTCAGCACAGGCTGCATGTGCTCCTGTCACAGGGATCTTTTTCTCTTTCAGTCCCCAGGGAGTTTGTAGCAAGACTGTGTGTTTGGCACATTCCTTCTTGGCCCCAGGATGTTCCAGGAACTGAAGAGTCATACCCATGAGCTTTGGCGTGGAGTAACCTCTCCATGTTGCTCAGGAACAATTTCAGAGTAGCAGGGTCACGTTTGGGACCGATTTCTGTTAGAACCAAGGCCTTTGAAAGATCTGCAACAGAAAGAATGTCCCATAATCAGAAAAATCAAGTCTTGGTTCTAACTGAATAGTCGGGGTTTTCCCTGAAGTGAACTTCAAATATCAGATTCTTATTCCTTCTAGAATAAGTATCTTTTGAGTGGTTTATAAAGTTTTTCTAATAGCCATGTTGAAAAGTAAGGACACAGTAACAGAGAGAAACAAAATTCATACTCAACTATTTCATCATCATTCCTTTAAAGCCACTTTCTTATTCAGATTTCAGAGGGAGATTTTTCAGTTCTCTCTTTTTTTAGGAATAGTGTTAGCTTGAAAACTTGAAGAGTGGTGTCTTATGAAAATCACCATCATTCAATCACAAATAAAAATAAACTGGGACCACTTGATGTTTGAAGGAAAAAAATGCCTCATCAATTAAATCTGTCTTTAAAAACTTTTCTCTAAGTGCTGGGATCACAAAGATGGAAATACCATTATCCCTATGGGGAAAGCAACTTTTAAATAATGCCTTTGGAAAGGGAGTCCTCAGGAGTAACCTCAGCACAAAGGCTGATGCAGTTATTGTGCAGCCTCAGCACAGAGCGGAGAGGCGCTCACGTCGAGCCCATGGTTCCTGTGATAGCAGGGAGGACTGCTCATGCCAGGAAGCTGGCCTGTGGGCATGGAGGGGCGTGACTGGGCTCCCTTCCTGTGCCTGACTCACTGGTGGGGATCACAAGCGGCTTGTCCTTGCCTGGTTATATACCTAAACACAACCAAATGTATTCAGTCACGTCTCTTCGGTCTGTTGCTCAGGCACGATCAGCCACACTAGGTATGTTCAGAAAACAGAACAAAGCCACTCATGGAGTGGAAGGAACACGTACTCCACAAGTTATTTCACTTGGTGGGCGCAATCCCACATCGAATCTGCAGTCATCTCACTGAAGAACCAGATGACCCTGAGAAGGCAATCTCCTCTCAGACAGAATCTACACCCAGTTCCCCCTCTGATATATAATTTCTTATATCAGAGACTCTCATTTTTTACTTTAAACACTTTCTGAAAAACCACTTGGCTCCACATCAAAGCTACCTGCCTTCAGGAGGTCTGAATCATTCCTCGTCAGGCACGCCAGGCACGTCAGGCACGCCTAGCGCTAAGGCTGAGCTAATGCACTTCCCCCATGATCTCCATGGATAGGATGCAGTTAACCCTGCCAAAGGTTACCTCCTACCCCACTCCCAGGCTGTAAACTGAGATGCTCTTTTCCCTGGAAAAACAGACTTCTTTTAAAGAAAAAGATATCAAGAAGGCCAGGCACAGTAGACATTCAATACATAGTTATTGAAGCAATTAATGCTTTCCTTCAAACACTGGCATTAAGGAAACATTAATAAGAGTCTTCTTGTTTGGGTTGGCTTGTTAAATTGATAGTATTTTTAAATTTATGAGAGCAATTTTTGAGTTAAGTAGAATTTTGTTGGCTAGCCTAAGAATCTAATCACTATGTACAACAGTATTTTTGGGGGAAGGGGATGAATTCTGAATTATAAATATTTAACTAAAAACTCCCCTTTGAATGATAACATATTACACTTTGTGGAGTTCCCATTAAATTAAAATTAAAACAGAAATTAGACTGTGCATGATTTCAGCCAGGAAAACATGGGAGTAGGATGAGCAGTTTCAAAGGCCGTGAAGCAGCAGTGGCCTCCTGTCTGCTCTCACTTCTCATTTCTTTACCTGACTTCAGATCTCATACACACCAGCCCATGTTTGTGAACACCAAATTTTTAAAAACAGTTTAACAGGTTATTCTGTTACTTGCTCTTTTGATATAACAATACACCGAGTACAACTTTTTCCATCCTTCCGTATTTGTAACAATTGAATGCTATTCTAACCAATGGAAGAATGGTTTAACCTTCCCCAACAAAAAACATTTTCAATTCTTGTTATTATAAACAGTGTTATCTCTTTTTCTATATAGGTTTGTGCAGTCATGTTGAACTATTTTTCAGGGTAGATTAATAGAAGTGGGGTTTCTGAATGAAAGAGTGCATATTTTAGATTTTGATAATTAAAGAAGACAATAAAGATTTCCCCCAGGAACTAGAAAGCCAGACAATCAATTTCCATAGGGAGATAAGTACCCACTTTTAATCATGTTCATAAGATGCGACTACTCCTCTAGGCCAAGGTCCAGCCCAATCTGTCCTTATCAGAGGAAGGGCCTGGCTGTAGGATGAATAGAAAGGAAAGCCCCCAAAGTGTCAGCCTAGACAAGCAAATACCCCTCCATGCAGGGCTGGTACAGGAAGAGCAGGGATTTTAAAAATAAGTGCCATCAGGCTATTTCACAAGAGACATTAAGCAAATTGTGCAAACAGCAATTGTTCCCATCCTACTCCCTTCCAGACACTCCCATGTATGCTTTCAGTCCTCCGTCACACTGGCTCTCTCACTGTTCTTGTTTCACAGCTGAGAAACAAGGAGGAGACCAAGCTTACAGAAGTGACCTGCATAAGGTCAGGTCAGGTCGCCCTTCAGTGGTAAGGCCCAGACTTAAACTCAAGCTTGTCTGGAGATATGTGAAAGAAGGGTTTTTTTTCCATTTTTAAATTTGTGAAAATATATCTCTGTATCTCTATATCCTCTTCTTCTAGCTGCAATGTATCTATTCTTTCTAATCTTGCTAATATTTTTTTTCCCCAAATGAAATCAAGAACAGAATAAAAAGGAAGTCTGAGTACTGCCACCTACAGGCAAAAAACTTTCTACTGTTTTATTTTGCCCTAAATAAGGAAAAAGGCAAAAATTACAAGTCCCTTTTACTTAATATCTTCATATATTATTAGTCCTGATTAATTATCTATAACTACTATGATTCTTGCATTTTATTACCACTTATTCAATATTTATCATAATATTTTATTTTTTATTTATTTATTTATTTATTTATTTTATCCTCACCCGAGGACATTTTTTCCATTTTTTATTAAGATAGAGTGGGAGGGAGAGAGAGAGAAACATCAACGTGAAAGGGACACATCGAGTGGCTACCACCTGCATGACCAACCAGGGCTGGGGACAGACTGCAACTGAGGTACATGCCCTTAGCGGGAACCAAACCCGGGTCTCTCTGGACCACAGGCCAATGCTCTAACCGCTGAGCCACACCGGCCAGGGCAATATTTTAGTTTTTAATCAAATGCTAATTATACTTATAATTAAAAATATTCCATGTCTTATCCAGCCAGTGTGGCTCAGTGGTTGAATGTCGACCCATGCATCAGGAGGTCACCGGTTCGATTCACGGTCAGGATGCCAACATTGTGGGCCAAATCCCCAGTGGGGGGTATGCAGGAGGCAGCCAATTAATGTTCTTTCTCATCGATGTTTCTATCTCTCTCTCCCTCTCACTTTCTCTCTCTCTAAAATCAATTAAGGAAAAAAAAATTTTTTTAAACATTAAATATTCCGTGTCATCATGGGTATCTGTATTGGGAATGGAGAGTTATTGCTTAATGGGTACAGAGTTTCTATTTGCAGCGATAAAAAGTTTGGAAATAGGTAATAGTAATGGTTGCACAACACTGTGAATGTAATTAATACCACTAAATTACACACTTAAAAATGGCTAAAATCGCTAATTTTATATTATGTACTATATATTTTACCACAATAATAAAAAAAAAAAACCTAATAGATTTTGAAGTAGGGCATTTTTGTACACTCTTTCAATAAACAGATTTTATTTAGGGTGAAAAAAAGTAGTCTATGATTTCCAACAGTCTGAAAACTTTCTAGTTGAGCAAAGTTAAAAATACCCAGGGTATCAAAGAGTACTGTTGTCTTAAGAGAAATTTTATGACTTAAAGGCAAGAGAAGCAAGTTGCGTCTATACATTGAAATATGTACTCATGGAGAAAGAGGCTATTGTGCTTAAGCCTGGAAAATATCCCCTCTGGGCATTGGTTGGTTTTGCTAAATGTAGAGAGCTCCTGAAACAACACTTATACCAGCATGCAGTTTTATAAACATGTCCTAATTCTTTCAAGACTTCTTATAGACCATTACAAGCTATTCATATAAAAATAAAACTTAACTGTACTTAAATTAGAAACATAAGTACCGCGATGAAGACTGGTGGTTGGGGGGAGGTAGAAAGAAGTGTTGTAGGGAGAGAGTGCTTCATGGAGAGTGCCTTGGAGAATGCAAATGCGCAGCACTGTGAATGCACTGCCACTGTTCACTTTAAAATAGTTAATTTTATGTTATTTGACCTTCACCTCAATGAATTACTTTTAAAACACAAACAAGTAATTTGGAAATACAAAGTACTGTTTAGAATAATGGGGAAGACAGAAATGGAAATCTATGCAACAACCACCTAGATTTTAACCTCTCCAAACCCTCTCTGATAAAAACAGACAAAACAACTAGGAAAGTAAAAAATAAAACTATAGACATCATTTACAAAACAACAACAACAAAAACTATATTATCAAGATATATCAAACCGCAAAACCCAGTGGGTGTAGCAAACTTCCAGCAGCTATAAGACCATGTAACATCGTGACATCAGGAGGAAGCGAGAAGAAGTGAGCATCTATTGGACCTGAGAACAGGAAAACCTCAAAATCACCAATAGCCACTCACCAGAAACCAGCTTGGGCCAATGTGAAAGGAGCTGTGCACATATCAATTCATGGTCCCTGGTATGAGTTGTGGGATAAGGTCTGAAGGTAGGGAACCAACCAGCCTTGTGACCTCTTATAACCAGGGCCTTGTAGGGCAGGTCCCGAGTAGACAGGTATGAGAGTGAATTCCAAAGCCACTACACAAAAATAATAGAGGCAAAGGAAAAAGAAGATCCAGGTAACAGTGAAGGAGGGAAACAGATTAAAAAAAATCTAAGAACAAGGCCAATTTTTTTTTAACACATCACAACAACGAAAGAGGCAGCTCTAGAACTGTGAAAGTAAAAACACTGTTTTAACAACCCCCACCCCCACCAAGTTTAGAA